GGCTAGACAACTGTGAATGAGCAGTGTGCGATTGGAGTCGGTAACAATCATGCTGTCGGCAAACATCGCTCACCCTTTTCATCTGAGTAAACCCTTAAGGCTCTTCTCCATTCAAAGTCTGTGATCTCCCGAACTTTGCGAGTAGATAAGCTTTCCATGACATCACGTAGATACACTGCAAACTGTAGAGTACAGATCATCACATTGATTAATACATGTATGGTATAAAGCCTTTCAATAAACAATCCAAAACGCTGTGCTCAATACCACCCAAAACAATAAAAACCTAACAAAAGGTAGTTGCAGAAGCTGATTGCACTGAAAGTGCTGGAAGACAAAACGGGCAGGATAATACAACCTACCCTTATCTTGCAGGATGAGACAACAGATATACAGTAAAGATCTAAGCAGATAGGGTACACAATCAAAACCTTAATTCCAAGCTAATTTCACCATGAAGCTCGGTGGATTATTTCTCTGGTTAAAAGGGGAGTTGTTATTGGAAGCAAGTTATAAATCAGCTTCAGACCCCATTGTAAAATGTAAAAGTTTAATTAGTCTTTATATTTCATGTCTTTTTACTTTAAAAAATCTGTATTGATTCTTCTCGTAACTGTGTTTACTGTTATCCCCATGATTATAAATAGGTTGACTTGAGTATTTCGAGGACTTTAATACTGCATACCATGATCATGTTTTCTAGTTTTAGCTTCTGGCTGGCTGTGACAAGCTCCTCACGGTGATTCCAGCTGCCCTTACTGATGATGTTGGAGAGCTTGAAAATCATCCCAGAGTGTTTCTTCACAGCTCCTGGAAGGGCCTTCCGATCTGATTTCACATTGGTAATCGCAGCCTCACAGTCTCTTGTCCAGCAGTACAGCAGACATAGCCTGGCTATTTGAAATGGATGCTGTGGAGGAGAAAGATTCGCACAGCAGGAAAGTCAATGGACCAACGGACAGCTAATCCTTTTTATTATCGAGGTGGATCACTCACGAGGGACAAATACATCCAAGAACCAGATGCTTTGTGAGTGTTTGAGTGTTTTAAGTATGATAGTTTTGACTTAGCCCGTGTAGTTAAGGGGAAGCCTCCTGGCCACAGGACGAAGATGCTCGAACCCAATTCAGACAGGAGTTAACCAAGGAGCGGCAGCAAGATAGAGATGGGGTGGAGGAGAGATGCATGAGACAGGTGTTTGTGTAAGATACTGTGCACATACTGTTTCAGTAACAATAACGCTAATTTTTGCATCTGTATGAGATTGACTCGCTGTTGATATCCCTCCCAGACTTCAGTTAATAACTTCCATATATATACACTGTAATAACATTTGCTGACTGTGCACATAATCTGTCTGCACAGTGTGCATACTGAAATGACTGAGTATCTAAATTACATGCTTGAACTTGTTTCCTTCGGGGCCGTGAGTATTTCTTCCACCTTCTTTAGTTCAGTGCGGGAATTAAGGGGGACGTACAGTACCTTGTATGTCCACTCATCGATGCCGACTCCCTGGCTGATATCTAGGGTTGCATCGGTCATGCTTCTCTCCAAAGTCTGTTGGATCGAGCTTTGAAGATCAGAGAGCCACTCCTCCACTGCGGAAGAAATATGAACCTGTGGGGGAAAACAACAATGGTACTGTATATGACAAAGAAAGGCTAAAACCTTAAAAATGATAAACCTAATGATTTTCACTGCTTTCAAGGTCTGGACTTCAATAAACAATATTGCTGCATTGCGTTCAGAATTTCAAAATATTAACTGACAAAAGTGGTGTGAATTAATACAGAATAATAATGCGATATTCGGAATGAATACCGATTTTCTAGGGGAAGGGGGAGCTCTAAAGGAACACAGACAAACATAAAGAAAGACTTATTTGATCACTTCTACCTCCTCACCCAGCTGCAGGCATTCACCGTCATTTGCAATCACAGACACAGCCATCATTCCCTTAGTGGCTTCCCTGCTGCTCAGTGGAATTGGACTTCCCAGCGAGAGTCCAGCCTGAAACAAGTCCATGTGACAATACTGAAGCAGGAACTCAGTGACTCTGCAATTTGCTTGAAGGGTATCAGCGCTGTCTTCTGCTTTTATTTCAAGAACAGCTACTGTATAATGATGACTCAAAGTTCTAGTGCGAAACCAAGCAATTCTAAAGGACAAGCACCACAGGACTAAACCTTTAGAAATATTTACAAAATTAACCGGTATATCTTCACATTGTGTTTTTTATTAAGATACTGACACATATGATGAGAATATTGTCCTTTGCCTGATATTTTTACAGCACACATTCAAAAAAGAAAACGTGTTTTTATATTCTTTTAAAAGAAACATGATGATCACGAAAGCAAACACTATGAAGTCACTATGAAATGTTTGCAATTGTAGTTAGGCCCCAGCTGCTGGCTATCTGGCTTACTGATCTCAGAGACTTGGGAAAGAGGCTGTCGCTGTCAGTCATGTGAGTCAGACTTCTGTAACTGGCTGACTCCAGCCCCTCAGCTGCTCCGGGACTGAAGTGAGGGTCTGCGGGCTCACTGCTACAGCTGCTGCTGCAGCTATCGGACCTCTCCAGAGCCAGACTGGCCACACCACTGAATATCAGTCTTCGAAAAGGAAAACAGACAAAACAGATGAAAGTTTCAGCATTGAAGATTGTAAACTGAAAGTACACTTCCCTTCACACTGTGTGACAGCTATCAGCTATTCTTTCTTTGTTTTTTTTCAGAAGACACTTATGATGCTAAGGAATATAACAGGTGAAGGTATGATCCCTGATCCCTACTATCATATCCTCAATAATATTGTATCCTCATATAGTAAAGTACAGTAAAGTAAAGTTATGCAAAGTACACTTCCTGATTTATTGTGTATGATATTAAACCATTCTGTTATATACAGAAGTTGAACCATTTGGTTTTTATATATGAAAACAGTTCTAGAGCTCATAAAGTTTGTGGATTGCCACTCGACTTACAAGGCCATGTTTTGCTGAAAATGTCTTGCTTTGGTTGGTATTTATTTTATGATAATCTTCACTTTTCTAAATGTAAAAACCCTTTTTAAATTTACATAAATCACAGCTGTGACACATGGCCAACTATCGTGTAGG